TCTGTCGTGCCCAAAACTGTATACTTATTTGGCTTACAAAGAAGTACAGTCTCATAGCTATTTACAAACTTTTCACAATGTTCGGGGCATTGATAAAGATGCCATTATTAAAAAGTAAGAATGATTCAACAAACTTTTTGGCAAGTTGAACCAAGATGATTGGGCAGCCAACAAACTTCTGCCAAAAAAAAGGGTGATTGTCGATTTTAAGTATAGAATTTTAACGTGCATCTATAATAATTTACATAAAAAATTATTACAAATAATATTAATCCAAGGTTATACTTAGCCAAATTTAAACAGATATAAATTTTTTGGTCATTGATAATTAAAAAAACTTTAAAGCTTAATTTCTCTGCAACCGGGAATACTATTTACTATCCAGATAATTGATGCAGGGGTTTTAATTTTTTTAAAGGATGCATCTTAAGAAATTAAAAAGAAACGTATTTCCCCAGTTTAAATTGTTATGAGGAAAAACATTTACCAGCGAATTCATATTAAAATCGAACAATACTATACTTTGAAACCCCATATTCCCCTATTTTATGTATGGGAATACAATCCCAAAGAAAAGGTATTTTAGAAATTAAGGAAATTTTACAAATTTTAAAAATTTTATAAATTTAATTTGTTTTTTACTTTAAAAAAAGCAAATTAACATTTCCCCTATAAACAAATATAGGTACTAATGCTAAAGTTTCCTTAGGAAACATTATTCCGTATTTATGTATGCAATTTAATCTGAAACAGAATAGTGTACATTTTGATAGTTGTCAACTTATTGAAATGTTTTCAAATGTAAACGTTTAAGCATAACTACACGATGCTGCGTTTATTAATATAAATGTTTTGGTTCTACTTTTTACTTAAGAGTCAAACTAACTATTTGTCTTAGAAGATATTAACTGCTTTAAAATAAAACAGTTTTAGACATTTTGCGTACCTATTATAGAGTGATAAGACACTTTAAAGCTCAAACAAATTAGTGAAACTTAAAAAGATATGAAAAATTATTGTTAAAAAGATACAAAGTCAAAATATTCTTACAGAACTGATATCCGTTTTTCCTGTTTGCAAAAAGCACAATACTTTTTAAAAAATAATTATCATTTCTAAAAACTTACAATATGTGTGTATTTTTTATCTGATTAATCTTTTTCAAAAACTTCCTCCTTAAATATTTGTGCGTAAACAAATATAAAATTTTGAATAGGTAAAAAACTATTATTGCTTCCACGTGACTCCTCTATAATAGCGGCCCCTTCAGTGGCTATGTTTTTAGACGCACTTATGTATTACAAAGCATTTAACGTGGGGCCGAAAACTCTGACACATTTAATTTCATAATTTTACGATTCCAACTATACAATTAACGACATCATAATATTGACCTAATAAAGTTTAACTAATAACGTCATTAATTTATTATAATTCATTATAATTGTATCTTCTTGAATTTTCTGAATATACAAATTAAATTCAAGAATTCATAAAATTGAACTAATAAATAATGACTAAATTCAAATTTTTGTTAAGATAAAATTCATGTAGTTTAATTCGCGAACTCGTTACGTTCGAATCGTGAAGTTCAAAGGTGAATTCATGAAGTTGAATACATTAACTTAAAGCTTTGTTGTTGTTTTCTAAAGTCGTAAATTTGTTATTTCAATTTGATAAATTGATAAAATTGTAAAATTATGAAGTTTAAATCGCCAGGTCGTTAAGTTGGGATAGTCTTTAGTTCATAACTGTAGTATTATTTTAGCAGGACCAATTGTTACACTTTTTAACAAATCAAAAAATTTTTTTCGTAACTTAAAGGAAATAAAACTATTTGAAAAAAAGTTCCTTTCCCCCCCTTTTTACAAACTTAAATTTTTTACTTTTTATTGGCAATTTTAAATGATTTTTTAACTTATCTGCCGTTTTCCGTTACATTTCGGATAAGAACGTCGATCTTCTTAAATATGGTACTCGTACCTACGCTACATAATTGAACAATATTTAAAAATGGTTAGTTAAGAATTTTTATGATAAGCACAGTTGTTCGATCCATCATCGGTCACGAATTAGCCTTAACCTCGTAAATACTGTCTCATTCACGTTTTGACAGCTAATTTCAGTGTAATGAAATGTACTTGTTTATAGCAACTGGTTTATACATACTCGAACCCAGTAGTATCTTGAAAATACATATCTGCAAGATATCCATCATTGCATCCTTCAAGACATATTCATAGGTTTTCTGTCACATATTTCGCACAGGTTTCGATCCAGGACCTTTGTATACACTCATTTAAACACTATCCGTGTTATTTTACCACCCCTTACGGTACATGATGAATGGCAAACTGAACTACATTCTTGTCCAGTGCGCGGTAGACAACTATTTTCATTTTCTCTTAAGCATTTGAGTCTTTGTTTTCTACTTAAGTGGCAGGGACAGTAACTCGCACTTTCAGTTCCGTACATGAATAGGCTCTTTGGCGTTCTTCTTTTTCGGGGAATCCGTTTTTATTGCAAACAAATTTATAAAGATGAAAACTATCATTGCATAATAACATGTTCTGACATCCGAACAATGATTGAAATTTGACAAACAATTTTTGTATACCGTTTTATCCGGTTTTATACTGATTATACCCAGATCTAGAACCTTGCATATAAGCATAAACAAACCAGGCTTGGATTGGTAGCAATATACCGGATCTTCTATATATTTACTTTTTAGACAATTATCATCAGTGGTAAAAGTTTAACTTATATGAATACCATATAATTTTTGTTTACATGAAATACAGTTATTTAAGCAATGTTAACCATCTTTATAGCACAATGAACGAACACTTTTGATAAAAAGTAAGATGATCATAACTAAAAGATGAGGAACATGTGATCAAGATTGAAAGCCAATAAAATATTCTTAACACCAATTATACAAACTTTAATCAAAATACATTTAAGTGATACGTTTTGAAATATACTCTGATAGCTGGTTTAACTGTTATTTTATTAAAGATATCGATGCGACCAAATGTCACATATGTATTTCAGTCAAATGTTAGCATTGAACATTTCTGTAATTTAATATAAAATATGTAAAGATGCATTTTTTGTAAAAGACATGTCCACATTTTATTACTCTAACTTGTAAGTAAACAGTCAAAATTGATTTGGAACTATTATGCAGAAGTGTTGACGATCAAATTCTTCATCAACAAACACTGCTAGGATAACTTATACCGTTTTCAAGAACATTGTTATACATGTTATAATCAAACATTATAAAACAAATAATGTAAGATATGTAAACAATAATAAACTGTAATTAGAGATAAGTGTACATTTTATTTAAAAAATTTAACTAAAATGAGATATAAATTAGTTTTGTTTTTATATACTCACAGAAAATTTTACGCTTACTATGCTTCGATAATAAATTAATCTTTTTTATTATATTAGTAAGATGGCAGGAAAAGCTTAGAAGACTGTAACCATAATATCTGTCTAAAAATACCGAAATAATACGATCGTATATTGATCAGCGATCTTAACTAGTAACGTTTACAAAATGACATATTCTATATATGAAAGCATTTATGAAGTGTAATTTAATAAAGATGAAATAACTGAACGTTTTGCTGGCTTCTTACTTTTACTATACTGTAGTAAAATTTACATTTCAATTATATTTGTGTTGTGAACTAAACCTATCGATTAGAGTTATCACACGGGAAGGTAGGTATGTTGAAAATTTAATTCAAGGCATTTACAAATACAGGATTGAAATATTCGAGAAAAGAAACGTTTATAAAGATAACAAGGTAAAATATTTTTGAAAACACATTAGTCATATTTTACATGTTAAAATAGCTAGATTGAAATAGAGTTTCATCCCCTAATACAATGTAATACAACTAGATTATCATGAATAGCAGCCGTTTTCAACGTGATTATATAAGGATAGTAATAATATGCATCAATCATTCATCCCAGGAACAACAAATACAGTAACAATTCATTCTGTTGTTTTCACTAGAAACTCGTTTCTTTTACATCTATGACACTGTTGTTCCTAGATCTGAAAATAAACAAGTAAATAAATAGACAAATAAATAAATAAACTAAATAAGAGAACATAACATAATATAACATTAATTAGTTAATAATAGTTATAAACAAAAAAAAACAAAAATACAAAAAAATTTTATAATTCTAGTAAATCAAAAAAACAAAAATAAATTAATTTGTATACTTATCAGGGGGCCTGTTATTCCCCAAAACTCTCTAATTATTATCACTTCAGCTGACTCAGTATTTACAGCTCTGAAATCAGTTCTAGTGTTATAATATGTTGGAATCTCAACGTTGGGTTTGTTATCTTGGGGCGTTTTACTTGCAAGATACCTGTATAAAATCATAGAATTTAGAATATTATTATACATTATTTTTAAGTCGATTTTAAGTATAAATTACCACAAAAGCAAACCAATTAAAACCGACACAATTTACTTGAAAGTACAAACATGAATATTAAATCATAAAGAAAAATATTACATAACGCTATGCTTATAATTATTATTATTTTTTGTATCATTAAATTCATCAGTAAACATGCCTTCAAGACAAGCATGTTGTATAGTATAAAAACAGTGTTAAAATATTCACCTTCGACGTATAAGGTACAGCAATACAGCAAATACTTCTATGGCAACACAAGATCCGAATCCAGAGAAATATATAATGGTAAAATTATTAACTTTATCTTCACACAGTGCACATGTTTGTTGTTGGGTTACAGACTCGGCTGATGTTGTTGTTGCCGACACTGATGTTTCTGTAGAAATAACACTGACGTGTAATGAACATTGTCATAATTACGCTCTAATGCTTATTGTAAGAATTTTCCTGTCTCAACTACTGCACAAAAAATATTATAAGATCAAGCAAGCCCGCACAGGGCAATCGGTTAGAGTGCGATACTTGTAATATTGGCATTAAGGGTTCGATTCTCGGGCTGTCCAACTAAAACTAGAGCTATCACGGAAAGTGATTGCTACTCCTACCCGCAACTTTGACCTTTTAAACAAATGATAGTCTGAAGAAAAATATGAACTAAACCTATATTACATGAAGTATCAACTGTGTACAAAGAATTATTCCAATTAAATGCAATACCCACCGGGGTCTTCATATCAGCTTGCTGTACACCAAATTTAATTACAGTATCTCATTTCTAACGGTAGTAATTGTCCGGAAACCATTTTTCTATTTTAAGTAACGGTGACCTTTACCCCATGGGGTCTAAATGCAAAACAACCGTGTTCTTCACATACGCTTACTATACACCAGGTTTGATTACAAAATCTCACTCCTAACTCTAGTTATTGTCCGGACACCATGTTCAAGTTTAGTAACGGTGACATTGACCATGACTCCAGGGGGTCAAAATGTAATACCAATCATTGGTTTTATATTAGCTTGATATACACCAAGTTTGATTACAATATCTCATTCCTAACTATAGTTATTGTCCAGAAACCATTTTCCTATTTTAAGAAACGGTGACCTTGAGCTTAAGGGCATCCGAATAAAAACCGGCCAGGGATTTTACATAATATTGCTATATACTAAGTTTCATTACAATGCCTCACTCAAAACCCTTTTTATCGTCCGGAAACCATGATGTGGAGCCTCGGACCGACGGTCCGACCAACTGACAAGCTGACTCCTATATACCCCCTAAACTTCGTTTGTGGGGTATAATTACTAAAAACATTCTTTCCGATGAGACTTTAAATCGTGGTTCCTTGTATGAGTGACTAAACACTTGGCACGTTAAATAACAAAGAGAAGCTTCTGGAATTGGAACACTGTTCTGTATTTGTATCTTCCACTGTCCTCTAAAATCTAAAATTACTATTACTCTTCTGGAGAACCCTCCCATATGGGCAACCGGTTGCGAGTATAAATAAACTCAAGTACACACAAGTCTAAGATCATTCAAATACTACAGTCTAGAGAGTAAAAATCGTAATTTCACTTTTTTACAAATATTATCAGTCCAGCCATCATTACAATCGATTTCTTTACTATCACAATATAATCACTTTCTCTCATGACAAATAAATCATATCCAATATATCTTAAATGTCACCATAATAGATGGCGAAAAAAATATGACTATCCAATATAAATGTTTATTTTGAGTTGCATTCTTTGCGGAATAGCTAGTTTTATGTGCGCATGTGTGGTCAAATTGTTACCCTACATGAATTATAACGTTGGAACGTTTTTAGAAGCTACTACGTGGACAGTTATAATAGTTACTTACATCTAAAGTAATACTAACTCTTGTAACAAGCCACATACAGTATTTCTAGTATATATTGTCAACAAAAGAAAGAGCAATTAAGTAAAAATATTCAATATTTATGGTAAGCATGTATTTGCTTAAATCCAAATGTCTCACTTATAAATAAATTATTTTAAAAAAACTCATGACAGTAATCATATGTACCTTGTTTACCGATTGTTGTAGAATGAGTACATTTATCTCCAGTCTGTCCACCCATACATCCATCTGTACATGTACCGTTGATTCTATCACATTTCTGCTCTTTGCATCCACCAGGACAGTATTTATCGCAGGTGTCGCCCCAAAATGTTTGGTTGCATCCGTTCAGACAATATCCGCCTGCATGTTCACATGTTTGACTACCGCTTTTCTCTATGCATGCCGGGCTGCATGGTAAACTGCAATCGGTTGAGTAAAAATTACCTTTACACAATAGACAACTATTTCCGTTATCTTTTGAACACTTTAAACATTTGATGTTACATTTTTCGGAACATTTGTCACCAGTCCAGCCCTCATTACATTCTTCTCCTTGACATATTCCAGTACTATCACAATGCGTAGAACATCCTTCTGGGCACAACATACTGTGTGCTTTGCATGTATTACCATTGAATATTTGTCCTTCTGGACAATCAGCGCAGACTAACAAATAGTTGATTATTTGACACTGGTTACAACCTTGAATAACACAGTCCGGACATTTCGAGTCTTGAAAACATGACAGACAGTGAACGTTGTCATTAAACTTAAAGAGATGAAAACCATGATTGCAAATATAACATGTTTTTCCATCCCTACAATGTTTACAATTTGAAGGACACGTTTGACATGTTGTTTCAACAACGGTTTTATACTCATAATATCCAGCGCTACAGCCACTCGAGCAGGTACGTAAATCACATCGTTCATTTTCACATAAACTACAATTATGTTGACATTGATTTCCATAGAAACCAGGCTTACATTGTGTACAATACCCCGTATCATCTTCGCATTCACTGTTTAGACAATTACCATCACAGTTTACGGTACACCTAAAACCATATTTGTTTGGCTTACATAAAGTACAGTCATCGTAGCTGTTACAGCTTTCACAATCTTCGGGACATGGTGAACAAAATCCATCTATTAAAAAGTAAGATGATTCGCAACTTGTACAAATTGAACCGGGGCATGATTGGCAGCCAAATGAACATTCTGTAAACATTTATGAAGTTTGACTATTACATATTTTAGTAACAATATAATAAACCATTGATATATTTTCCCAGTTGAATAGACGTGACCATAATAAGAACTTAAATTTAATATTTTTCTTCATCCGAATATGATTTATAATAGGCCATTGGATAACAGTTTACAATGTTTAATAATAAAGAAAAAAAGGTTTTCCATAGCTAAAAATCACAGAAATAGAAGAACTTACCGGCAAATACCATATCAACAAACAGCACTAATACTAATGCTGAAATTTCCTTAGAAAACATGTTCCGTATCCATGTATGCAATCTTAAGAAAAAAAGTGTATATTATAAGTCTTAGAAGTTATAAAATGCATTGCAATAAAACAGTTTTAGACATTTTGAATGTCTAACTTAAAGTATAAAGATACTTTAAAGCTTAAACAAAGGTAGGGAGACATTAAAATTATAGATTTTTAAAATGATAAAGAGTCATAATGTTCTTACAATAATATCCTATCCGTTTTTCATAAAGCAAAATATCTTATTTTTTAATATAAATAAACATTATTTAAACAACAATTATGGTGGTGAATCATACCTATCTGTTTAATCATTGCAAAATAAAACTTGTTCAAAACTTCCTCTTTACATTATTGTGCATTGAATATAAAGATTTGAATTTGAAACAGTATGCAACAGTGACTCTCTATGTGGCGCCGCTATTTTTAGACGGATTAATACGGTCGAATACATTTACAAGTTTGAGCTTTTAAAAAAAAATAACTTACAAGTAAATAAATAATGAATTTTAACGTCATGAATTTATTATCTAAGTAGGATTTAGTTAATTCGCGCATTTGAAAAATCTACTCCACAAATTGAATTCAAATTTTCATGAAGTTGAATTTGTTAAAATGTTACAATTGTGAAGTAATAAAGTTTAGGTCGCCAGTTTGTTAAATTGAGATGGCATTTTGCTCAAACAAGTATTTTAAAAGGAACAATTACTACACTTTTCAACAAAAGATTTTCTTTTGTCATCATATGGAAATAAAGTCAATTTGAAAGTAATTTGAATAACTTTCTTTCATGTCTGAATTAAACATTTTATTTGCAAAATTTCGAGTTGCGCATTTATATTAAAACGGAAATTGTAATATAATAAATATGTTTAGAAATACTTTAACATGTTCAGTAAATATGTATGGTCAGTCGGATCTATCGAGCCATTTCTTAATCAATAAATCAGATTCATTTTCTTCACTTAATTTACAATTTTATTGGCAGGTACATATTTTAAAATGTTTTTCAATTTCTCGGCCATTTCCGTCGAACTTCAGATAAGGACGTCGAACAACAAGGATCGGATAAGGAACGCCAATCTGCGCTACAAAATTAAAACATATTTACAAATAGTAACATAACGACATTTTTATGATAACTAGCGTTGTTCCGATCAATCATTAATAAATTACGCGTTACATCTTAAAAATTAACCCAGTCACAATTTAGCAGCTTTTTTAAGTATAATGATACAGTAGATTTGCTAATGTCTCCGCCAACTTTGTTAATCTGATAAATCATGCAAACATGGACATATTACAAGAAAGCAAGACTAGATTTGTTTTAAAAAAAACTTTCTTATGTCAAATAAATTATAAAAGAATCATGCCATAAATTGATAAATTAAGATGTTGCAATTAAATTTAAACTATTGAAATGTGCTCTTAATGATTTTTAGATACTTTCACAATTGAAATGAATAATAAACGGAATATTGTTATGAGACCTATTGGAATATACAATCATGTAGTTTTATGTTCAAAATGTGTGCTAACAGGCCGATCTGATCGAAAAAAGAAAAACATGCATGTTACATAACGCGCTTCGATTGCGAACCGAATTAACAAACCTTTTTCCTCTATAAATCACATGAGTTCAAGAACTAATCTGTACCTTTAAATTCTAAATTGAAATTGTAATTGTACTTTAGTACACATAAGACGATATAAAATAATTTGAACCCAAAGATAAATGAAGTGATACACACAAAATTTCGATCGTCTCATGTTGATTTGCATCATATGAATTATTTCTATGTCTTTCAAAAGAAGTTTATCTTTCTGGATAATATGCTTCTTAAAACATTTCTGCGGATGCATTAACTGAATGCCTCCTTTCCTTGTTTATCTTCTTTTTCATAATTTGAGCATTTTCCTTATACTTGTCAAATCAAATCGTGTACCTGTGTTAGTCCTATCGATTAATATTAGGTAAAAGTTCGTCTTAGTTTGTGTCGCAGATATTGATCCTTCAAGTTCTTAAGTCAAGTTCTTCGAGTAATTTGAGGAAAAGGCTCACCCTCTTGTCTAAATAAGATTAACTTGTCACAAAAATCAAAATACACATGATTTTTCTTTATTAAATGTTTGACTGTCTAAGTGACTTTAACGCTTTGCGTGTGATAATCTTGGTTATGCATGTCATCATAATGACTAACATTATACCATATGAAAGTAAAGTACATTTCGCGCAGAGAGTATAATAGGGAACTGAAATATTTATTGGAGAACCTGGGACATACCATATTCTGATTTTTATAATGTATAAAATGTTTTTAAATAAAATCATTAGTAATTAACACCATTCTTTTCGTAAAAGTTTAGTCGGCTTTGATCTTTTGTGAACATTTCCCTAAATAACGGGGAGCATAATTGTCTGTTATTTAACCTCCTATAGCATCTACTAAATAAAAGATCGTAAGCAGTTTTTATAGTAACCTTCGCTTTGACTAAAAAAGAAAGAACTTCTCTCTTTTCCCATTTTAACCTCATATAAATAGATTTTTCTGTTCAGGTTCTATTAAAATAAGATCACTTAGATGCAAATATTGTTCTTTAAATTCACTCAATGTTAAGTCTCTTTAGACAATGCCTCTATAGCAATAAGTGAATTAAAAAAAAAACAACAGCAAAACGCTTTCATTTTTGGCAATACCGATTAACAATTATAATGATTGCTACACGCGGTATTATTATAATATACATGTACTACTTCCCCTTGTAGGAAGTGTGTAGACTTACTTTTACAGTATTTATCCCGTAATGCAGGAATATGAAAAACCCCAGAGGAACTGTGCAGTTGTAACACCGAATCTGGGCCTATTGGGTCTGAGGGGGCATTGTGTTATAGTTATGAAAGACAATGTGTAATTTCACTCACTAGCATATAGCTTTATAAAAAAATACCTATAAATAATGTAAATTTTTTACTAGTATTTATTTGAACATAAAATCTTCAATTAAACAGATTTACATGTCATTAATTTATTAAAGCTTGAGTATAACGAAGCTAACAATTAAAACAGACAACAGTGTAACAATAATATGTAAACGTAAATGCAAAACGTATACAACATAAGCAATAAGATAACGAATTAAAAAACATATATTGAACACCATTGACTAAATGCAAAATAAGAAATTTCATTTTTAAATTTCAATGTATGTAAGCCATATAGTTCGAGATCAACTATAGAACTATATCTGCGAAGAACTCATGCAGAATAAGCTTTAGTTTATAAACTGATCTATAAAAGATTCTCGTTTACAAACATAGCTTATAAAGATAACAAAACTGTGATAAAAGGACTACAGTCTACATCTGAATTACATTGTCTGTATTTTCTAGACACATGTTGAAATATCTATAGTTTATTAATCAGTTATAGAAGGATATCAATGATAACCAATTTGAAGACGACGATCTGTGTTGCAAAGAATTTTTATATGTAAATCACTTCTATTAGGAACATTATATAAATAACACATGGATTTGTGGGTAACAGTAAAAATATCATCCCGAGGAAAATACTGTTACCCGAGGCGTAGGAATGATATTTTTACTGTTACCCACAAACCCATGTGTTATTTATTTTATTACCCCGAACAAATACTGTGATGATCTGAATTTGTCAACTAAATATATAAACTGGAACAAAATTAAGCCAAGAGGAACAATAACTAAACTGTCCTTACCTTGCAAGTTTAAGTGCACTGTAGGCCTACTTGAGAAGCTGTTTTTCTTTTATTCTTTAGGCAAGTGTTGATATCTTCCAGTCATAAAGTAAGCAGTGTTTTATTCAGAAAACAAAACACTAACCCATTTCTAAGGTTATGATCTGTGAAATCTGATCCTTCTGCATCCAGAATATTCTTCGCATGGTTTTAGATAAAGTGCATTTAGAAAATAACGATGATATCCTACATATGTCTGTCCACCAACTCTATATGTAACGTTTCACTGGTTAAAATTGTTAAATTATCCTTTGTTGCATGCTTTAATTGTCTGCATGTTCCAGTTTGACACAAAATTATTTACATTACAATTACTTCCGTTGAAAACGGATGTTTCCTGTTGACTATTCAACAAAAAGATATTTAATACGCGAAAGGGACTCTAGGGTGCAAAGAACTAAATTTTATCAGAGTAATAGTTACAAATGTACTTCGGCGATGCCCTATCGTCGTAAATAAGAATGAATCGAGAAAAAAATGGCGGCCATTTTATTTCATTTTATTTAGAAAATAGACCACGTGACCAGATTTTATACTGTTAAAAAATACTGCTACCTATGTAACAGTACAAAATTCGTAGTCACGTGGTACACTTGCATTAACAGTAAGAATAACTCCCATAGGCCTATGGAAAATTAACATTACGAAAAAAGTGAGGGGTAATAAAATAAAATGTGACCTGTTATTGGAGAGACTTCATTTTATACAACTCTTAGACAGATAATAAACCTATGTTATAAAGACGCTGGAATATTGTAAACTGAAGTTTGACAGGCTGAACTAGTTTATAAACCTATTCAAATAACATTAACTATTCGAATCTAGTTTAAAAAGAAAATAGTTGAGAATTTCAGACTCGGTTTATTGAGTCCACTCACGAGATGAAATGAAAAATATAGATCTTTGTTATCAAAGACATTATAGCTCATAATCCTTTTTGGATAAATTAAAAGTTACTGTGAGGGAAAGTAGCAAACATAAGTAGCAAAATAAGTATGATAAATACTTAATTCATATAAGCCATAAAGCAAAGACTTACACACAGAATAATATTTCACTTATATCATATTTTGTTAAAGGCAGTTATTTCTTTAATATATTGATTGATAGTTTGATTTTTTCAATATTTTCTTTTATCACAATCATAGTATAATTTGTTAATCATTATTCATATATTTAACGTTATTGCACATGGCAGATATAAAGGTTAAATAGTAGTTATTTTTCTGCCAGTCTTTTTTCAT